AGCTGCTTGTTCCTTGGTAACTTACCCTCACTGACCTTCACTTCCCTTATCTATGAAATATTTATAGGAGTAGCTGTAAAGCCACACATATGTAAAGCACCTCGGCAAAATCTTGGCACAGAAGAGGCACTTAAATACTGATGATAAATATATAAAATTAGCTTATTGTCATCTGTTTATAACTACAATATTGTCCAAACATAACTGATGCTAATAAGTTTGAACATCAATAAGTCCACATAGATGACTGTGAAATTCACATCTTCAGCCTAATCCCTTTTCTCCTAAGCACTGACAATCATTTTATTCATCTATTCTAAATGAACTCCTCCTCCTGGCTCCATAATAATCTTCCCCTCTTGACTTCAGACCAGTTGTCAAGATGCCACATCAGTAACCGTCTTCTTTCTTCAAAAAAAGACAGGTGAATTTCTTAGACAGCTACCACAAAGATCCTCAGATCTATCAAGCTAATGTCATCTGAGTCCTCGGGCTAAATCCCAGTCGACCTGGAGGTTGGGAAGGAGCATTAGGAGGCCACAGAAGGCTCCTAGAAAGTTGAAGGCTATGCCTCTTCCTTTTAGGACAAAAGATCAGGTCTGACAAGCTAAGCAATTGAAAATGTGAAAGCTCCACCTTAGGTACAGAAAGAAACTATTTGAATCAGTGAAGATAAAAGAACAGTAGTTGCCTCAGGCCTTGTCTAAACAGTTTGCAGGCAACTCTCCCTGGTTCTATTTCAAACTTGCCTTACAACTTTCTTCCTAATTTTTTAGTTTTTATTCATAACAGTGCGACAATCTGGCCCTCTGGCCCTCCCAGTTCAGTGGCCCTCATCAGGGTTGGGCCACCACACTACTCCTTCCTAATCCACTGTCACCTAAAGCCAAAACCTTAGGGTTATCTTTGACTCTCCTTAGGGTTATATTATTCTCATTATGGAATTACTGGCCACCTCATTCTGTTCTTGTTTTCTTTCTGAAGTCTCTTGTAATTTTCCTTATAAATTCCATTGCCAGTTTCTGTTTGGGATGATGAAAAATTCTGTAAATGGATAGGTGATGGTTATACAATCCTATGATTGGTCTTAATGTCACAGAATCATACATTTAAAAATGGTCAAAATGGTAAATTTTATATTACGTACACTTTATCACAATAAAAAGAAAAATTTCACTGCTATTACCAGTTACAGTCCCTAAGGACCAAGCCCTAGATGTCTGACAATCTATACGTTCTCCCTGCACCCAGCACCCTCCCATCCACCTACCGTACTCTTTACACAGCTCTTTAAAGGCTCCCATGATGCAGAAGGAAGACTTCTTTCTTCAAATGTTTACTGCTTATAAATTTTAATTCCTTAGTCTAACATTCAAAACTCTCTACCATCTAATCTCAGCCTACTTTTTAAACTGTACCTTTTGCTAATCTCTACAGCTACAGACAGCTCTGGCAGACATCTGTCTTACACTGTTTTGCTCATGCCTTTTCCTTGCCTAAAAGATTGTCCTCTCCATCCAAATTCATCTTGTGCAGTCCATGCTCAGGTTTTCCACAGTGTTCTCTGACTACCTGTGGGTAAAACCATAATATTTCCAGAATATCTGGCCTGGCTTTAGTGCATCTGCGTATCAACAGGTGTCCTCAGGGGTGGACAGAGGTTCATCTCCATATCAATGGGTAATTACCTGAGCAACAGAGGGCTTATCTGAACCTGAGAGGTGAGGGGGAGGGGTTGGCTTTTGCTGGAGCAGGAGAGAGAAATGGCCCCGGACTTGCAGTTTCTAAGCAATAAATGTGTTTTTAACTTTATTTCCCCCTTTGACTGAATTCGGTTTTAGAGGTATTTTGCCCCGGGATTTCATCTCCCCGGAGTTACACTACCATAATCGAGACTGACTGTACTCTCCCCTGTTACCTTTTGGATGTTCTTATCACTCATTTGAAATACTGCAGAATGTATTACCACATACATTTTGTCTCCTCAAATCAAACCATTTGTGAAGTCAGAATGCTTAATCTCTTATTTCTTGGTACATCCCATGTCTAAGTAGAAGGTACTAAATAAATATTGATGGACTGATCCAATTCCAAGTCACTGAATAACAACAGCAAATATTCAAATATGAGAAATATTTGCATTATAGAAGAATTTTCAGTGGAGAACATTAAACAAAAGGAATGTTTAGTTCATCATAAATTAAATAAGTCCTATCCTAAAATCTTTTAATTGCTTGCAATTCATATCTATTCCCAGAGAACACACCTGAAATTATTAAAATAAAAGATATAACACAGGCTCACCAAGATAAGGATAAAAGATCAATACTGGAAACTCAATTAAGGAAGGTGCGTTATTACAATCAGAGATAAATCTAACCTAACAGGAAAGGATGATCACCGGAGGCTCATTAGAATCACTCTCTTAAATATGAATTGTCTAAACCAGGTCTTTGACAAAAGCAGGTCTGGCAGACATCAACTTTAGATAGAAATATTTGATAAATACCTGGTATGCAGATATACTGGTATACTGCTAACTTAAAATATATATAATATCAGAGCTTTAGACACTAGACAAGTTTAAGTTGATAATTTGTTAGAAAAATGAACATGTCTAAATGGAGTTCTTCACACAGTGGTCCGCTGTGGATCTCTACCACCTTAGAGTGATGCAGAGCAGCCAGAACATTTCCAGACAGCATCCAGACTATGCCAGTGGCAGTTTTCCCTTACCTTACATGAAAAAATACTTAGCTGGGGCTCCAGATTCCATTCTATAAAGCATGGAAGAGAGGATATTGAACTGAGCAATTTTAAGCATATTTAATTAAGAAATCACTTACTCTATACACAGGCTATAGTTCAAAGACTCTGTAACAACTTTTTTAAAAAAGAAATCCAGCATTGAATTGTAACAGAATGTCAAGATGACTATTTAATCTGTTATTATAAGGACTGAAATCTGAAAGCAGCATAGCCTTTACTACAGAAATTATATCAAAACTATTTTATATATAATATCTAATAGAAAGGGGAGAGGAGAATATAACTAGCTAAATGTAAAATCTGTGAAAAATGTAACTACTTCCAGTTGTAGAATGACCAGTTGCTATGTGTAACCTCTACCATTACCACATACAGGATAAACCAGCCAAAACAGAGTAGCTCTATTTACTTTCCACCTGAATTATTAAAGAGAGTAGTTTATTTTACAGGGGCTATTCTGTCTGACACCTAACGCATACTTTGCTTAGAAGCTTATGTACCTAGTAGATAGTCCAGTAATACTTTCTGTAATTGTACATCATGATTATAGCCCAAGGCTGTCAAGAAGTTAGAGAATACTATTAGCAAAGCAAAAATTAATTTCTCTGCTGAAGGGTCCCCNCAACAGCCACCAGCTCCGTAGAAGTGACACCTCAATCAATTCATGCCCCTTCCTATATAACCCAGCACCTTTCCCTAATAAAGCGGAACTCTCCAGTGAATTGCTGCTATGTGTCCCTCCTTTCCTTTCATCTGCCCCTTCAGAATTTGTTCTTTTTGCATAGTCACACACCCCTAAAGCTGACTATAGAGCCAGGCTTACATGGAGAATGACAGCATTTGCTTTTTATAATGCATAACAATTTTTTGGCCATCAAGGAAACATGCCATGAATAAGAAGATAGTTTATGAAGAAGATATAAGTTATAACAAAATATTACTATAATGTAAATATTATCAAAAATAATAAAACAGTGTATTCTCATTTTCAAATGTAAGCTATTCTAGGAAATGTGATATAAGCTTTTAAAATTCATAAGCATTCATGATGGTGTTAACACTACTACTCTAAGTATCTTAGTATTAAGGTATACTAAGATTATTATATCAGTTTTATATCATCTTACTATATTAGTTCACATTATATTAAAGCATAATATTAAATATTTTTAGTAATACTAAACATTCTATTACTAAATTTTGTACTAAGCATACAATATTTAAATCTTCAACTCGCTTTTGTAGCATTTAAAAATGATTTTCAGGAATTTCCCTTAAAACTTCACATCCCTATGAGTTGTAAGAACCATTTAAATAGGACCAGGGGCTCTCTCCTTAAAATGCTTACATTTAAACATGAAAAGTTCAGTTTCTAGAACACAAGCCAGCCTCAAACATCTGTCACTTACCAAATATCACTAACTGATACAGAAAGCTTAAGAGCACTGTGGATAAACAGAACAAATGGTTCTGCAATTTTTGCTTTCATATTCTCACTATTTTTCAACAGACTACAACACACATCATAGCTGTCTAATGTATCTTTAGGGTAACTATGTGTGAATAGTTACATCAACGCTTTAAAGAAATGTGGCTTTAAGTAACATCCTTCTTAATCTGGGGCAAAAATAAGAAGTGGATTTTTAAGACTAAATCATTTAGGAGAGAGAACTCTAAAATGATTAAGGCTATAAAACTGAAGTTCCTCCATTTAAAGTCACTTCATAATATAATCAAAATCAATTTATACCTCAATTGTATAAAATAAATATAATTTAGATAAATTGGACCCAATCTTGCTTATGAAAAGTCTGAGTCTCAAAGTCACTAACCAAATGCAATTTATTTAGTATTTCCTATATGGAATTTTTGTGTCTTATTCTCACTCTTTCTATGGTAATCACTAGTCAGAAAATAATTTCTTTGGCCCAAAAGCATCAGGACTTTTCAATATTATGTTATTTAAGTATTCATATGCCAATAGTCTTAGCAATTACATTTAATAATGGTATTTCATAATCAGTTTGGTATTATTTCAGGGTGGAAGGTGAAGGGCTAGAGTAAAATAGCAAGATGGTCATTATGGGGAGACCACACATATTTAAAAGATGATTTTAAAATTTAAATTTTAAACATTTAATGTTTAATATTTAACTATTAAGTATTTCAAAGCTTAGTTTTAACTGTAAAATAAGATTGCTTTAACTCCTAGAAGGACTTACTGTACTAACCCTGTGAGAGCTGGATGAATCGCGGATGTAATGCCGAGGTGATCACACTCTCCGGCAGCTCCCTCAGGAAGAGTTTTAACAGACTGGCTGCGGAGCAGACGTCACCGTCTTTCCCGAGCTCCACGGGCACTCCACTCTCAAACTTCAATCGAAGTTGCTCCACCACCTTCACATTGCCATTCACCCTAAAAAGGCCTTCCTGGGTGAGCCCTGGAACAGGAAAGCAGACACATGGAAAATCAATAGGTCTCTTCTCACAAACAGATACAAACTAAAGAACAACAAGAGAAATCTCAGTACAGGATTTTTTGAATATGACAATGACCAAGCACTGGAAGATTTTCACATTTTATAAAATGTTTTCTTAGAATAATAAATTTTCACATCTACCACATGTCAACTAAAGAGATCATATAGATTGTTCTAAAAGCTGAATGCTAAAAATAAGGTCAGGATGTATATAAACACAGAACATATACTATTCTACAAAGGAACTGTATTCATGTAATATAATCTACAGTACATAACAGAAGCTTACCTGGGCTCCAATAGCAGCTTAGCATTTTGAAAACTATTTTAAAAAAAAACCAACATGCATGTAAGAAATTTCTTACCTATATGTGATTACTTTTATAATAACTAAAGTTATTATAAGAGTAATATTGCTTTAGTAATCACCAAATTCAAGGTGTAAGACTGTCAGACTATACAGTTGCATAAGAGAAGAGCCTTGCCTCCAGCCAGTTGAAGGGGAACATTAGTGTTGGCTGGGGTCAGCAGAGAAGGCTTCATGCAGGAGCCTTTGGCTCTTTTGTATGATCTTCGGGTAAGGCGTAAGCAAGATGGAAGGGCTGGGGCTGATTTTCTGTGAAGCTAATGCAGTTTAAGGGAAGGGCCCTTGCTGATTTGAGCCCTTTCCAGTGCTCTGTCCCTAACTCTGTATTCTTAATTTTGTATTCTCTTAGAGGACCCCAAAAAGATTAAGAACCAGGACCCACAAAACCTTCATCTATCCCTGCAAAGAATGACAAATATGTAAACTGGGAAGCAGAAAAAGGATAGCATAAAGAAAGGCAGGCAGATAAAAATATGGCACGTTCAGGTCAAAGAATAATTGGTAATAAAATGGAAGAAATGGAAAAGGGCCATGAACATCAAGTTAAAGAGTGAAGATTTTATCATTGGAGCACTAAGTGGAGTTGGGGTAGGACAATACACAAAGTAATGAAGGTTTAAGGAAGATCCTGCCAGCTAAGAAGTAAAGAATGGAGAGGGCAAAGAGCTTGCTTGATGGAAGTGAAAAGGAGATAAGATGATTTGTAACTCAGGACAATAATGGAATTAAGGAAAAGGAAGGGTTGAAAGGTAGCTTTAAGGTTTAAAAACTAGAAATGCAAGAAAAAGCACTGTGAGGGATAAGGTGATGTGCATAACAGGGCTGGAAGATGGTTTAGGGCAGAAGATGATTCCAGCTCAGTGTACTAGACTTAAGGAGGCAGATCACAATGTAAGCAAGTAAGCCAGACCACAAGGAATAATCATACGGCGAAGAAACAATCCTTCTTAAGAAAGAGTAACCTGAGAACTCAAATTAGCATTCTTTTGAGAGTCTAATGGTGAATCTTAGCAATGACACAAACACTGAAGTCTGTTAAAATGAGTGGGATGAGAGGTGTTAGTTTGTATCAGCCTCTCCTTCTTTCTCTTACCTGCTAATTATATTGCTCTTTCTAAAGAAAAAGGAAGTGGATTTCATTTTTTTTTGTAATTTGATAAAACATTTTATGAACCTTTTAATTCAACACATATTTAATGAGTACCTGGCAGTGTGTTAGGGACAAAAAAAAAATCAACTGAGAAAAAAACCTGAATACTATCGTTATCCTTATGAAGCTTGTAGATTGGTAAAATGTTTATATTCATATACATAAATTTGGCTGTGGAGAACATATCGAAAATTGACATGAATTTTAGCTCCAATTTTGACAAAAATTTGTAAAACCAGAGATGATATTAAAAATGCTTAACAACCAGGACAGCCAGGGCACCATGCAATCAGAGGAGAAACCAGTCGTATATGTAGTAGACAGCTTCAAAAATGGACCGAATGATACCCACCTTTCAGTATGCACACTCACGTGTAATCCCCTCCCCCTGGGCGTGTCTGGACCTAGTGACTTCTAACCAACAGAATATAGCAAAATGATGGGATTAGGTTCTAATCTCACTTGTGAGATTAGGTTATGAGACTGGGAGTTCACCTTACTTGCCTGCATTCTCTTTTTTCCCTTCTGCTCTTCTTGCTTGTTCACTCTGATGAATCATCCACTATTTACTTTGTTAACCACCTTATGGAAATGTCCACATAGCAAGGAACTGAGGATGGTTTCTGGACAACAGCTACTGAATAACTAAACAGCCTGCAAGGAACTGAACCCTGCCAACAACCACATGAATGAGCTTGGAAGTGAACCTTTAGTCACCGAAGTCCTGGTATGGCTATAGCTTCAGCACGTGACCACAGCCTTATGAGAGACCCTAAGACAGAAGACACAAATCCACTATGTCCAGATTCCCGATGCACAGAAACTGTGAGGTGATAAACATTGTTGTTTTGATCTATGTTTGGGGATAATCTGTTATGCAGAAACCGATAACTAATATGAAATGCCATTCCTTTTAATACTGCAGTTCAGTTCCTTGCAGGCTGTTTATTCATTCACTAGCTGTTGTCCAGAAACCATCCTCAGTTCCTTGACTTTAGCTCAGACATTTTTAAGGCTTTAAAGGTCTGTTTCCTCTTCTCTACAAAGCTTCATCTGTAACTTCAGATATGTACATTGGCATCAAGCAAACAGCACTCAATAAAAGAATCCCATCCCTGGTGAAAGCCAATATTCTAAAAATTTAGAATTTTGCATCACATTTCTGTACCTACAGCTCCTGAGCCTGTTTTTAGCCTGGAGAATGCCCTTTGAATCTTATTTCACAGTGACTTGCTAGCTTTGACTTCAGGTTTCTCTTCCAACAGGCTTTTTTGACCCTTCCTTCAAATACATATACTTTCAGTTATTTTCAAATACCTACCCAGCTCCAACAACTGGCTTTGGTCTCCAGGGTTCCTGTTCCCACTGGACTGAAGTTAATGCTTCTTGATCACCTTTTTCTGGCCCCATTCATTTGTGTAACTCTCTTCCCTTAGGAACATCTCTCACCCAAACAACTCTTATGATACTCAGTGATTTTCAACCAAGGTAAGTTTACCTCTGAACATGGCTATTTTATACTCCGGGAAAAAGGATCCATACAGTTTTTAAAAGCCCCTAACAAACTTACATCCAATATCAATATGAGGCTTACCCAACTATATAATCTCTAAATTTTTAGGAAATGATTATAACAGAAATGTTCAGTGGAAGGATATACTTAACAAAGCTTCATGGACTTATTCTCATACATTTCATAGATTTTGATTATATTTGACTTCAGGAGATAATTGCTTAATCATTTCATACCAATTTAATAATGGTTTAGGAATGAGAGAATCATGTAAGCTAAATCACATATACAGCATTGACAGCATTTTTTTTCATTCATTTCAAAACAGCATGAATACATTAGAAACTAAATATGCCAGAAGTTAGAATTTGGCTAATTGGCACACTGGCCCAGAAAGTAATATGACAATAGGTAAGCATATTCTGACACCTGGTGGTAAGTAGGGGTTCCTACACTACTTGGAACTAAATGGCATGCCCCACGGTTAGTGATAAAGAGAAGGAATCTAGTCAGTCAGCAAGAGTTGTTATTTCAAAACAGCACAGAGATGATATACCTCATAACTTTAAAGATCATCCTTTGAATGGAAAAAAGAAATATTTCTTTTAAAGAAAGGGAGTCCAAGCCTTGTTTTAAAGGCCCTGATAATACTCTTTCTGTCCTAAAATTCCTTTATAATAGAGTTTTCCCTCCTGCCAAGTTGATAAATGTCTACACTTATACTGAATAAAAAAGCATGACTCCAATATTTACCTATGGTTGAATTAAATGACCAACTATCTCTATATTGCATAGCAGAGTACCTATGGTATCTTTGGTACATAATTAATGTCTACTGACTTAGAAAAACTGCAAAATAATAAAATAAAACTAACTGAAGTATCTTACCTGAAAACTTCATACCACCCTTCAAAATTACACAGGTTCTTTGGTTTAACATGATGGATTAAAATACAATAAGGAACTTCTGGTTATCTGCACAGTAATTAATTCAGTATTACATATATATTAACTATATAGCCTTTCAAAATACAGAGTAAATAAATTTTAGGTTTCATAGAGATCTATTTGTATCGAAATCAATAAGATACACTTTTACTGGATACTGAGTGTGTTAATGAGCCCTATCAAAAAAGCCTTTAACTTAATGACATCTGGCTTTAAGATCTTGTAGGCCAAGATTTTATCTTACTGCCATGCTGTATATAACCATGTTTAACCTGCTTAAAGTATTTGAACAAATCGAGATATGTTCTCCAGGAATCTTATCCTTGTGCAGCTTATATTCCTACAAAAGTAAGGAGGTAACTCCTATGAGGTAAGAATGCAAGCCTATCTCTTCAGTTTTCACAACAAAATACCATTTTGTTATCTACACACCTAGTAACCTGAGCAAACAGCTGTTTTTCAATTAACTCAGAACACACAACCTTCTGTGGTCTGAACTGTCTGCCACACAGTCCTTGTCATGTTGATACACGTTTCTACAGAGGAACAGATGCACAGGGCTTCTCAAATTTTTCCAATGCAGATGATTCTTTATAGAAGAGGAATGGACCTGCAATCATGGGAAGATACAGTGCTTGAAGCAAACTGCACAAAGTGTAGAATTTCTTCAGTCTCAAGACTTATCTTTAAAAATTCCCACAAATTTTATATTCTATTCTAAATAAGTCTTTTTACCATATAAATGTTGTTTCAGTATAGAAAATCATGAAAATTCCAAGCTTTCCCCTAAGAATATTTTTTCTAAATCTTTTAAGGTTTACTGACATTTATTGTATAAATGAAACAAGAGAACTCATATGAAAATTAGAACAGTGTATTAGAACAGTGTATTTAAGCACTTAAAACAAGGAATCATTCCAAACTAGAAACCTCAATAAAGTGATTGTTCCATGGTGAATTCAATTAGTATTGTCAAAACAATATTAAGCAGTAATAATGCTCCTAATGCCCTTTAAGATAAAAGTATATTACATAATAATTTGATATTCTAATTAAGGTGTTTAGGGAATAACCTAATAATACATTTGAAGTAATTCACATAGATTCTTCTCATATGTGAGTACTGTACAAACAACAACAGAATTAAATCATGACTTGACTTACCGTGCTTTGTCAAGTATTCCACTATATTCTCCACGATAATTGGAATGCCATTCTTAGTGAGCCCCTGCTCTTGAAGGTCTTGGAGACTGACTCCAAATAATTTTTTATAGGTAGAATTCTTCTGCTCATTTAGTGGCACTCCCACTATCTTTTTCATGTCCTCTTTCAGCTGAACTGCTGCTTTGCTTTGCTTGAAAAAGCATAAAAAAAGAGAGCAGCCAGTCATTTTTACCACAGGAGGTTGCATGGTTACAACAGAAACACCTCAACTGCAATATAAGTGTGCAGAGACCTATAGTAGTGGTCTTTCCTTTTTTTTTAACTTCAAATCAAAATCTCTAACATGTCTCACAGGTTGCTCAGTGCTACAAATGGTGGATGCTGATTAATGGTTAAAAGAAGTGAAAAATGAGAAACCTAAAACCACAACTTAATGTAGCTAAGAGAGGGAGCAGCAATACACTGCAGTATCTAAGATAGATTACTACAGTAACCAAGGGGTGTGACTCAGAAGTACCTGGCTAAAAGGAAAAGAAACCATTTATAAGAACAATGAAACCCCACGCAGATCATAGAATAAAATGTTTCTAAAGATGAAAATTATATGTCACTTTAATGTAGCTTTAATTTAAAGTATTAGGAAAAAATATACATATAAGTGTACAGAATATCTCAGTAATACTTTTGCACATAAAATCAACTTTATTCTCATTGTGGTTCAAAATGTTATCTCTCTGAAATGGCATTTCAGGCAGTCACAATTCAAAAATTTAACAAGACTGCACATATTATAAGTAAAAAAAATGCAACTTGCATTCAGTTAAATCAAGTTATCACCACATCAAAGAAATCCATACAAATTTATTTCGTCCTTTAAATAGAAATTTATACCCCAAGGAAGTGTTATAAAGGAAGTTTTGATATGATTTAATATAACTAAATGAGGGATTTTCTTTTAAAGCATATGTCCTACATAAATGCTGTATATCTACAACTCTAAACACTGAAAAGATGGTAAAATACAAACAATTTTATTTGGGGGCAGAGGCAGCAGATTGGGGGAAATTTTCACTTTTTGAGAATGAATGTAGCAACTAACCGAAGTGTAAATATCATAAACACAAGCTCTGGTAGTTATTCCAATCCAGAAACAGAAACATTACCTCCAGCTTAGAGTTGAGGAAAAGAAGATCACAGAGGTAAGTAACTTGGCAAAAAAAATCACAGAAATTTTAAGAGCTTCATTCTACTCTAAGTCCATGTACCTCTTTTAATTTAGCTTTATATTACCATTATGGTAATAATCTTTGTTTTAGTAGCAACCTATGATAAATGCTGCATGTGACCCAAAACAATTATACAAAATTAATTCTAGAAACATTATTTTGAGTGAGGTTGCTGTAATCTCAATTTGATTTAGAATCCTAAAATTTACAGTCAAATCAACTTTCACTGAGATATCTGCATCTTTTAATAGGTCCTAATTGAAAGCTAGATTTCCCTCATGAAAATTCAGCAAATGTAAAGTTACAATAGAAATTTACTATCTATTAACTTTATAGATAAAGCATTGTTTTAGCTACTATAGAGTCATACTATGGAGGAAGAACTATAATCTGTTACCAAGGAAATGATGAATTTATTAATTAAGTCAAATTTTTAACTGCTTTTTTTCTCTAATGAGTTTAAAAATATATCAATCTCCTTCAACTTCAACACATGGGAAATTTCAGTCAACAACGTATATCTATCTATCTGATGAGGAAGCAGCAAAAAGTAACCAGTATTAACACAACTTTTAAAAGTCATCTCAAATGCAGCATTAAAGAAAGCTGATAATATGAGGCTAAATTATACACATTTTATCTTTACCTTCTTACAGAGACTATATTGTACTGTGGTTTAGAGCACTGATACTAGAACCAGGCTCCCTGTTTAAAACAAAAAAGAAAAATCCCATTCTGATGTAATTAGCTGTGAATCTTGTACAAGTCAATTCACCTGTGTGCCCATTTCCATTTATGAAAGGGGGATAATAAAAGTTCCTATCCTACAGGAATACATGAGGCTTGAAGTGACTTCATATACGTAAAGAAATGAGAGTAGTGCCTGGCACACTCCATAAGTACTAATTGTTATTATCATAATCATCATTGCCATCATACTTCTTTGAAGGAAACTTTTCTAATTTCTTCTTTAAAAAAATGCAGAGGTACTATTTTTAGTGTCTGTGTAGACTAAAGGTTGCTATTTAAGAAGGTAGTCAGGGTTGAGACATGTTTGGTAGATTGATAACCTAATTATTCTCCACATATCTCTGATCTCTTAAAATATATGACTTTTGAATGACAAAATAGTTTTGCATATAAGCATCAGAATTCCTCAAGTTTTCATTAGAAATTCTCAAAGTTTTCTTAGAACTTCTATCTATATTTGTATTAAAACCTTTATTAGTATTCTTTCTGCTAAAAGCCCCTGTTCTTGATTCTGTCCCTTCATCAGAATTGCAGACAGTATATTGTGTCTCCTGTTAATAGACAGTGTAAATAAGCTATCTTGGCATTAGGGTTTGGAAAGTTGTCAAGTAACAGACATGTAATTAACCTCACACAATTTGAAGTGATTGCAAATTAAACTACCTGTTTACACAATAGAGAGCCATACTACACAGCAAATTTATATGTAATCATAGTAATAAAGGAATATCTGATTATTGTTTCTAATTAGTAATTTAATTGCTAGAAATGAGAAACAAAATTCCTATTCTTGTAACAAAGGAAAACAGGATTATTTACATTTTTCTTGATCTCCATTACTAAGTGCTGTTTTAAGTGCTTTGAAATTAACATGTCTAAATCTTAAACAACCTTGTCAGTACTCTATTTCTACTGAAACAAAAAATTCTAAGGCACAAGTAAAAAGAAACTTGCTTAAGTGTACATGACTTGGAAATTTTAAAGCTAGAATGTAATCCAGGTGGCTCCAGCTCAGGCGCTTGAACTCTTGACTACAACACACTGCTGTATTTCTGGAAGCTTTCATATCTGTAGTTTTATAAGGGCCCAAGGGGACAACACAACATGCAGCTCTCTGTTTGTAGAGCTTAACACAAAATCAATTTTAGACTACTGAAATCAACAGACTTTATTTCCTTAAGGCAATCCTCCAAGAATTTAAGGTACTCTGAAGGACAATCAGATTACTTTGCTAGTTAAATTCACAATGAGGTGCCTTAAAACTCTTTGGAACTGGGAGTAGGACTAATAAATCTAACCTGGAACATGTACAGTAGAAAGCCACTCCACCACCAAATAAAGGGGTGCATGGCAAGCAGGAGATGATGAGACATCTCATTCCAGGAAGCAAGGAAATGCTCAGGGCTCATGGGGTGTGTCAGAAAGACATGTGGGCCAGCTTTAACAAGATTGTTATGGCCAAATTTGGGGCAGTTGGAGCACGGGGAGTAACAACTTTGTAACATACTGTGTAAATAAAAATCTATGAATCTACAGTGATACTAATAAGAATGAGAAAAAGGGCACTCCTTTGTCTGAGGTGGCCCACACTTTCTATGTAACCTTTTAATCTTAAACTTCCTCTCTCCAACCTTTTGGGGTGCCTCTCCTTGCTGAGGTTGCCTGCTGCACTTCTTCTCTCTTTATGTAACTTTAAGTAAAACTTTTACTCTGCTTCAAAAATAAAAAAAAGAATGAGAAAAAGGTGTTAAAAACTAAAGGAAAACTAAAGGTTGTTTTTACAGATGGATGATGCAGCTGACAAGAATGACAGATTCAGAAAAATCACCATTTCCCACAAATTATTTAACAATATCTCCATCAAGGATAATCAGTGGACACTAAAACATCAGGTGAAAGGTGGTTGGAGAACAGGATTTTCAATGTCAAGATCACACACTCTTTGCAAGGGAAAAAATACACCTTCACTAATGATATCTGGGTTTATTCACCTTAACTTTAAAGATCAAATTTATCAACACTAATTATGAGAGGAGCTGACATTGTGTGTTCCTAATGTGATGCAATATGCAAGACAAAATTTCTAAAGTGTTCTTGCCACAAATGTTTGGGCTGATGCTAATCTACCCTCTAAATGTAACAGTTTACAGGAAATACAGTAACTAAAAAAACAAGTAAAGAGGCTGTGAGGAAATAATCAGACAAATGCAGAACAAGGGACATTCTAACGGATGGCCTGGACTCTTTAAAACATCAATGTCAGGAGGGAAAAACTGATCTATATTTAAAAAGAATTAAAATACACAAACTTCAAAAGAAATGTATGAATTGTGACAGGTCCCTGGTTTGAAGAAAAAAAAGAAAAACACTGTCTCTTCAGGACAACTGGCAATATTTGAATATCGGTTGGATAGAACTGTTATAAATACTGTTATATATATTGTTAGGTACAATAACATTATGTAAGAGCTAATTTATTCCACGTGTAGTGTATTCCTTATTTTTACAAGGTGCCTGCTAAAGGAGTACAGCATCATGTTTTCAACTACTTTAAAATATTTCAGACACAAAGAGTCTATGCATATCTATATGAATATATGTATATGTATATATATATATATGCACACAGAGACAGTATGGGCACAAATACTGTAGAATGCTAATTTTTAAATCTAAGTCAGTGTCATATGGAGTGTTCATTTTACTATCCTTTCAACTTCTGTGAATGCTTGATATTTTTTCATTAATAAAAACTGGGAAAAAATAGGGACTGCTCAGGGAAACATCCTACTAACAAAGAGTAATAGCATTTTTACTGTACAGTTAGGAGGGAAAGGAATGTTTTCTCTTCAATTTTCAATTAAAAATTGATAGTTATGGCACTATTCTTACACAGGGGCATACACAGGTCATATTAACCTGGATAGGGTCGAGTCACTGGGAAAGCACTCCATCTGAAATTAGGATACCTGAGTTTGAATTATTTTTGTCTTGCCAGTTACTTGTGTAGTCTCAATAGGAATGTCAGCTTTTTTGGTCAAATATGTGGCTTTGGAGAGGGCCAAAGGAGACAATAAGAAAGATGGCACATGGCCTCCACCCAGCCACAGCAGCTGAATCAACTGAGGGATCACTGGGAGGACAAGTACTGCAGCTGGATCCACCTCACAGGCAGACTGATAAAAACTTTCATCTACACCAAGACTGAGACCTC